TTTATATAGTAATAATATTACTAAAATTAATATTTAATATTTTATAAAGAAATTAACAATTATTTTTAATTTCACAGACAAATTTGCCTGCTAGACAATCTAAGGGATAATTGCTCGTAAGTATTTAGAAATTTGTCTAATATCTATTCCTTCTGAAAGGTTATTTTCAGATATAAGAAATAATATTACAGCAAAGAGATCAAAATCTTAAACCTAATTTAGTAGGTAAAATGATATTTTTAAAAAGAAATATGTATCTTTTTGACTCCATTTTTTCACCTGTATAAAATAATCTAGATTATGTTTTTTTGAAACATAATTTTACAATTTTTTTTTTAGTAATAATATACTTTTATTATAATTTTTAATAAAGGATTAATTATCAGAATAACAAAAATAATAATATTATAATTAATTTATCGTGACCTTATTTATTTATTAAATAAAAATTTAATTTAATAAATCTGAAGGCCAACTCAAATGCTTAACTTAAATGCTAATTCGAACTTTTAATTCGAATACTTTTCAAGTCTTAAACATCCTGACTCGATATGACTCGAGTCAACTCATTTTAACTCAAATCCTACCTTCACCTATATATATTTAAAACTTATATTTTAATTTTAAAGACTTATATTTAAAATAATTTACAATTAAAATAATAAATACAATTAATTACATTATTATTAATTAATTAAATTTATAAAATAAAATAAATATAGAAAATATAATTTAAGATTTAAATAAGTAAATTAATTTATAAATATAACAAATTAAATTAAAAAATTTAATTTATTTATTTTAAGTTAAGCCAAATTAAATTAAAATTAAAATTCAATTGATTTAAAATAACTTAAATAAAATAAAATTAAAATTAAAATTAAAATAAATTATTGTATAATATTAATTTACAAATTAAATTATAAAAATTTATTAAATTTATATACTAATTTAATAAATTAAAAAATTATAATAAAAAAATTTTTTCATAATAATAAATTTTATAATATTATATAATAATATAATGATTAATATAAAAATCAATTCTAATAATTATTATAAATTTTTTATTATAATTAAAAAAATTTAAAAAATTATAAAAATAATGAAAATTCTTACAATTTAAAAAAAATTGATTTTATAATTTTTATAATTTTTAAATAAAATTTTTAAAAATAATATTACTTATAAATTTGAAATTTATGTTTAATATTTTGTAATTAATATATATTATTATATTTTATTTTATAATATTTAATTTTTTTTATTTATAAAAAATAATATTTGTTATTATTTAAATAAATCATTATATTAAATTATCAAACTTTTATTTAATTATTTGTAAAGCATTGTTTTATATAAATCACTATTATTTCTATTTTAAATAATTACTATTATATATTATTTCTTATATTAAATCCTTGAAATATGTTATATAATTTACTTATTTTATTTAATTATTTTATTTTAATAAAATTTGAATATAATCATATTTATATTATATTATATTTTTATAATTTATAATTTGAAAATGATTTTTCTGTTTTTCAAATATATATTTATATAATCTTATATAAAACTCATACTATTATATAAAATCTTATTTTAAATAAGATTTATGTATTCTAATAATATGTAATTTTATATAAAGCCTATATATAAATCCATATAATATTATATAACCTTATATAAATTAATTATTTAACTTTATATTTAAGCTTTTGTGAACTTATGTTTAAAAATTTTTTCCAATTTAAAATAAGTATATTATATTATTTAAGTTATAATTTTTATTATTTTTATAAATTTGTATAGTTTTTTCTTTTGTTATTTTAATAATTTTTAATATAGTTTTTTGAAATTTTTAGATAAATTGTTGAACTCTTAATTTTTAAATATTAATAACATAAGTGATATATTTATTACTTTTATTTAAAAATAAATTAATATAATATGATAATATGTTACAAATTAATTGTTTTTATTAAAATAATATTTAAATTTTGCTTTATCACAATTTGCTTTATCACAAGTTTAGCTTTGGAAAGTGAATTATCTAAATCACAAAAGTTTTTGTTCTAAATAGTAAACTAGTATTTACCGAATTTATAAGTTAATTATTGAGTTAAATAATTATTAAAAAGAAAAATATATTCGTTTTCAAAATGTTATCGCCCTTCTTATTTCATTTGTTGGATCTTATTCACATAATGCAGGATGAAATAAAAGCTTCTATCATGTATGATGATATTGGCTTGCATGCTTAATTTAATCAATATAAATTATACATACAAAATAGTCAACAAAGACCACAAAATTAAGTGTGTTTTTCTGAAATGAAGCCGGAGTCGGAAAAACAATACATGAAAATCACGACATGAGGATGCCAAATTAATTATTTCTATAGATTTTTATGCCATATATTTTTTTTAATTACCTCTATATCAAAAGAAATTAGTTGTTTAATTGTTAGTGTTAAAAAAAATAAAAAAGTATAATGTCCTTTTGTAAATGAGAGTTCTCTATCTCTTGTTCCAATAACCGTTTATTTATTTAGAAAAAAAATTTTTTTATAAAATTAAATCACAATCATTTAAATCGTTTTTTTTTTCCAAACCGAAAACTATAATTAACTTCCACCATTCGAACTACATGAACTTTATTGACAGGGAACAAATCGAATCATTAAACCAAAAACATAATAGAGAATAAACAATTCCAAACAACCAATAAACCAACAGATGACAGAAAAAAAGGAGTAAAATCTTAAAGCAAGAACATAATTTACAAACAACCAATAACAGACAATAACAGAGGACAGAAAAAAAATTAAGGGGTAAAATATTAAAGCAAGAATATTATTATGTTTGGATTCCAATTATTAATGTCCCTTGTCAAAGCTACATAGTTTCGATATTTTGTGTGATATATGTTTATAAATTTAGTAAACAACAAAATTTTTTTTATATTGCTCTTGTCCAAAATAAAAAAGTAAAATAAAGAATGGACTAATTATCGTTTAAATTTTATTAGTAAGATTTCTTTTTTTTTTTTGCTTGTCTCATTTGAATGTTATTACTAACACGTGTTTATGATTATCCCGAAGAGTTTATTGCAGCTTTTTTCATGAAAATTTATTCCTACACACGTTCTTTTTCGAAAATAACCTTTTGTTTTATTTATCATTATACACGGAACTATCCCTGAGAATTGATTATTATTACTATTATTATTACATATGCCATATCAAATGGGTGAAATTAAAGGGGTTTTCGACAGGATACACGGAAAAGGGAGTTTTGTTTATTTAAGTAATCGTTGATACATATATATACAGAGAACCAATGAGCTTAATTCTTGAATTTACGAAATTATATACATGATAATTGGAGAACAAAATCCTGGTAGTAGGTGCCATGTTTTTAATTGGAGATCTTCATTCAAATCACAAAATTTTGTTGCATGCATTGTATTCGTATCAATTGATCTGAAATAAGATAAAACCACGTATTCCCGACTTGTATTTTTTTTTTTGTCTTTATTATCCAATTTTTTTTACATTTTATTTTTATTATTATTATTATTATTTTTTTTAAAAAAAAAAAAAATTAATATATACGATGGAGCAAAAACCAAATAATTCTGCTTCGAAATTTATGAAGCTCTTTGAGAAAGCAAAGGCTACCTTTTCCGCTTTCTCCTTCGCCACAACCTCCAGCAGTGGCGGTAGCGGTAGCAGGACAAACAACAACATCATCAACAAAGGTTCTGAATTACCTTCCTATGTAAAACGTCGGTTAGAATTAGGAGGAATGAGGGTCCTTATCTTAGGATGTGGAACGGGAACCTGGTTATTGGAAATGGCCGAGAAATATCCCGAATCAACCTTCATCGGGTTCGATGATTCATCAGACTATCCCGGTGATGAATCATCACATCTACAAAACGCGGGGTTTAAGAGAGGTGATTTTCTATGTGGAATCCCGTTCCACAACTCGACCTTTGATCTGGTCCTCGATTTCGTGGATAGATCCAAGCTATCGGGTTTTCAAAATGACAATCTTTTTTCTGAGGTTGTTCGTGTTTTGAAACCTGATGGTTTCTTGAAAAAGATGAAGGAAGAGTAGATCAATGGTGGTTGTTATTATTGTTATCAAAATGTTGTTGAAGCCAACTCTTACATTTATCGTTTATTCAAAAGTTTTAGCAGTAGTTAGTTTTCCACAAGAATTTTTAGATATGTATTATTATGTATACACCGGTGGAATAATTAACGCAATTACTCAAGAAATGCCTTTTACCCCATTTTATGTTTTTTTGTAGAAGAAGCGATTAAACTTTTTTTTTTCAAAAAAAGATTTGTCTAAGTGACTTTTCTTTAAAAGGGAATAAATGGATATTGAAGAATAAGAAACAGAAAATGACAATAAATTTTTTTTAATTCATTTTTTTTAAATTTATTTTTTTAAATTATTAACATTTATTAAATTATATTAAGCGATAAGAATTTAAATATAAACATAATTCCATATGATGTTAGGTTATGATATCAGATATCAGATATAGATATAATCACATGCATGTGATAATATGCATAAACCCTCGAATAAAAATTTATTTTATCATAAGTTTTGAAACACCTGTAATTATTATTAAAATAAAATTATCTTGTCCGAAATATCTTCAAAAAAAAGTTGTCATATGTGTACTATATAAATGTTATATCTCGTAATTCTTAAATGGAGTTCTATCGCGTTACTGGTTTTATATATGATGTTTATACACCAAAATCTAAAGCTGAATGCTTCATAAACGTGCTCAATGCAGATATAATGCCACATTTCTATTATGGTTCCTGAACTGTTTCATGAATCAATTTAAAGCTTCTTTTATCTTGAAATAAACACCTGGTTAGAGATATTTCAATAATTTTTAAATATAGCAAATTTTATAAATTTTTATTATTTATTTTGTTTATTATAGTGTAAATAAGTTA